GAGCACCTCCTCACGTGCTCGCACCTGCCACTGTGGGTGCATTGCGAGTAACACCGTTGTCCACGTCAGCAGGTTGGACGTGGTCTGTTTCCCTGCGAAGAAAAAGCTTTTGCACTCCTCTACGATGTCGTTTACTGTGATATTGGGAGAAGAATTTGAGGCGTCGATCATTAAACCCAGCAAATCCTTCGGTCCTCCTCCCTCTGGTTTTTTTACAGTAACCGAATTCCCACCCCCCCGATTCTCTTTTCTTCTGTCGATCAGCTTCATCAACGATTTTTTTATTTCTTTATCCAATTTCCACGACTTTATATTTCTCCTCGTCGGAAAGAATCTGAGAAAATCGCCATTTTGTAGTGTACCCAGAAGAAGACGAAGATGAATTAGTTAGTCCTTTCATGTTTTAATCAAGCAGTATTTACAGTTGAATAATGGTCATGACGGTACTCTTAAGTTGATTGGGGGCGCGAATTTTAATGTGAAAGAGACGGTGATTGACGACGATGATGATTACAGGCCTAATTAACATTAATTAATTAATTGATTAATTCTACTGACCTGTAACCAGGAATGAAGACTTTTTGGAATGCTTCGGCGGCGAGCTCCATTTGCTGAGCTTGTAATCTAAAAATGGCTTTACCATCTTCGTAGCTACTGCCAAATGCTGTTCTCGTAATCACATCTTCTGTTAATGTCTGAAACCACTCCGACACTTCAATCTCCACCTCGCCGGAGGTCGACATCGCCGACGACCATTTCTCCAGCATATCAACCACACTGGTAGCTACCACCGGGACCAGAAGCTATAACAGTACAAGTAGAAGAAATTTAAATCCATGGAGACTTCGATTAGTGGGTTGTGTAGTTTGTAAATGACGTTAGGAGCAACGGGTAGTGCTTACTTTGAGATTTTCCATGTGGAAAGTTGGAGAAATGATTTTGCGGTGGTGAGCCCATTTTTCGCCTTTGAGACTGAGGAGACCATCGCCTTCGAGCTGGCGGACAAGAGGGGGTGCCTCATTTTTCTCGTAGAATTCAGACTTGGAAGTGAAGATTTCCCGGATTAGATCGGGATCGGAGACGGTCAGCCGGACGGTGGGACCAAACCAGACTAGAAATGTTGCACCTGATAGATAATCAGAAGGAGAATGAATTAGAGAAGAGATTAAGAAATATAAATAGATGAAAAAAAGTTGAGATTAAATGGGAACCAAATAGTATGAAGTAATTATTATCAAGTGTAAGGAAAAGAGGAAAAGAGTTCAGAAATTAACATGTTGACAGCCATTAATTTCAGAGAGAGCATGGATAGTGTAGACCCTACAGAGGGAGAGAAAGAAAAGGGAAGAGAGAGCAAAAGCCAAAAGGAAGTGAGGAAGAAGACAACTCAAACTATGGGGGCTAACAGACACAAACAACTTCATTATCAAAAATTCAAGCTCCTAAAAAACAAGAAGAAGAAGACACTGAGAAACAGAAAATTAAGTAAATGATAAATCCACATGAACATATACAACTCTTCACTATAAGGCACTACTGACAAGATAAATTTGACAAATTGATTTTCCTCCACAAGTTTCTTTTTTTTTTTTTTTTTGAAAAACAAAACTACACATGTAGATGTATACCCACATAACAAAATTTAAATTTAAATACAGTGATACAAATATATAAATGATAATATATGTATCAAAAGGTGTCAAGGCAGAAACAAAATCTGAATTATTAAAAAGAATCAAAAGGTTTCTTTTAAGGAGGGAGAGAGTATCATGCAAGAGAAGTAAGTTTTTTTAAAAATGAAGAAGAGAAGAAGAAGAAGAAGAAGAAGAAGAAGAAGAAAACAGAAGAGGAAGAATCCAAAAACTCAGAACTTCAACATCAAGCCTTCCAAGCTCTGGGATAAAAAAAAAATAACAAATAAAAAATAAAAAACCCTGTAAAGCATTATTCATATATATATATATATATAAAGGTACTGAAACTGGAAAATAAAGCCATTATAAAGTCGCAGATTTTGAAAGATAACATCATCAACCACGGCAGATAAACATCACAAAAGCAGCAAAACCGTGTAGCTTTGTAATGAAGATCAAAACTAACAAAATAAATTTAATTTCTAAAGAAAAACAAAAAGCCTGGAAAACCTCATAAATTTTCAAAAAAAATCAAAACAGCTTACGAAATGTGGAGTAGATGACATAAAAAGAAAAATTAACTGTGTAATCATTAAACAAAATCTTGGTAAACAAAGAGAGAAAACCTTGGTAAACGAGAGGAAGAAGAAGAAGAAGAAGAAGAAGAAGAAGAAGAAGAAGAAGAAGAAGAAGGGAACCCACCATAGATTTTCTTCCAGTGATGGTAGAAGGAGAGGACTCTAGGAAGAATATTGTGAGAGGAATTAGGCATAGGCTGAGAAGAAGCTTTTAACATCATGCCCACAAGCTCCTTGACATTGCCAATGAAGAAATGGTAAGGGGGTCCTCTGATCCCTTGCTTCGAGAAATGATCTTCAATCTTTCTGGGTCTCCACCATAGCACCAATACCACCTTTAGAACAAAAAACACTACAACTAAAGAGATGATAACTAGCTTGAACCAGTAGCACAACAACACACGATGATCATCCTCCATCTTAGCTGCCACTCAAACAGACCAGAGAGAAAGAGATAGAGAAAGAGAGAGAGAGATTAGAGTGTGATTTTGTTTAGTGCACTGTGCGTACACACTTCTCCCTTCTTGCTTATTATAAGAGCAGTGGAGGTTGCTAGCTTGCAGACCTTTCCTTTTCTTTTCCTTTTTTTGTTTATTGTTTTTTTTTTTTTTCTCTTTCTGGTTTTCGCTTCTTATCTTGTATTTTTACCGAGAGAGAGAGAGAGAGAGAGAGAGAGAGAGAGAGAGAGAGAGGAGTTATAAGAGGCGGAAGGAAGGAAGCAAGGCCAACGGCGTAGGGGCCGCCATTGGAATTCTAAGGGTCAACGAATGATGAGTTTTTTAATCTTTTTTAAGACACCCTTTTGTCTTTTCCTAATATTAGTGTGTGTGTGTGTATATATATATATATATATATGTATATATGAACATACATATTATACGACGTTACGTATTTTTATTTTTATTTTTTTATATATATTTACACACTTTTGCTTCAATTTGAGCTCTCTACTTTTAAATTTCTTTTATTTTACGTAATTATAATTTGTTTTATATTTTCCTAATTTCTTGAGGGAGGTGAAATTTAAATTGAAACCATCCACTAATTAATTATATAATAAGGTGTGATTTTTAATGAGATTCACGTTATTATTGATTTAATCAAATTGTTATTGTTCGTAAGATGGACATTCTCATATAAAAATGTGCCAATTGTTAATATTTTTATACCTTTAAAAACCTAAAATAAATTCTCTTGTAATGTGAAAACTATACACAATATCTATTATGCATATGATAAAAAGTCTCAACGTAAAATATGGTGTGATATATATATATATATATATATGTATATGTCGAGAAAGAAGAGGATCACTTCCTTGGGTTGCTTGGAGGCGGCGCTAGTGATGGGTGACGGTGGTGGTCGTTGGAGTCATGCGTGGGAGGAGGGGGGGCCGAGGAAGAATGTCGTCTAATATAAAAATTATGAAATTAAAAATGAAGTAAATTAATGTACTAAATAAGAAGAAATTATTGTATTAAAGAAAAATTAAATTGAATTAAATGACAAAATTATATTATTTATAATTGATTGCTTATTTCCTTTTATATCGTATAAAATTTGTATATATATATATATATATATAGTAATAAATACATATTAATTAAAATCATTCTTAACAATACGTATAAAAATTAAATTATAAACTTCAAAACGTGCAAGAAGTAAAATTGGATTTTAAAAAAATATATATATATAGTATAAAATATTGGAGTATTAGGAAATTCAAAAGCACATTTACATAAACTTTTTAACATGGTGGTGTAAGATTATATATAAGTAGGTGGGTAGTCAATTATATTATGTTAAAAAAAAAATAGTATTAATTAATCAACTAAAACTTTGAAATTTAAATCATATTATAAAATTAAAAAGTGGGCAAAAGGCATAAAACTAAAAATGGGTTATAGGTGGGCATTAATTTAATTTTTAATGAAAGGGGGCACCTGCTCCCTATGGTACCATTCTCTACTTATTACATACATAGTAGCTGTGTGATGAGATTTTTTTTTTAATTAATTAATTAATTAATTTTCAAAATTAAGGCATGATTGAAGGGACAACAGATGAGCATGAGGTGTATACATACACACACACATATATATATTTTATTGTTTAAATATATATTAAAAAATAAAACAAAATTCTTCTAGAAATTTATGTAATAATTAATTTGAAAACTATATCAGCGACTGTACGTGTTTTAAGTTACATAAGAAATACAAATTAATTATGTATTAAATGATAATAATTACTTATACACACACATATATATATATATATATATGTATTTCAACAAAGATTTGCTTATATTGATAATTAAATGTACATACATGTGTAAATTAAAACTTGTCACGCTTTTAGAATTCCTTGTCCAAATTCTATTTGGATATACGAAAATGATCATGGTATTAATTTCCAAAATTAAAATTTGGTTATTTATTTAATTAGATGATTGTGAAATATGATAATTAAATGTACATTAATTTTTAAATATTACATATTGATATGAATATCCCCGTAATCAATATGTAATATTCAATTTAGTATATTGGTTGTATTGCATTATTCAAATTTTTTGACAAAAAAAAAAAAATATTTTATAATAATTAAGTGCTTTTAATTTGGATACCCAACATATTAAAATTTGATATAATATTTTTTTTCGTTTAAAAAAAATATGTAATAGTTATAAACATTATATATATGAAAGTAATAAAATTAATTTTAAGTTAAAGTATGTTCGGAAACTATCATTATTAATTTTGAGTTATGCTAAGATGAAATGTATTATTATATGAGCTTTGGACCTCTCCAATGAAATGTGGCTATCAACTCATATACATACATACGTACATACATACATATATCTATATATATATATATATATTTATGTATACACACACCACGAGACAAGAAAAACAAAGTTTGATTTTGTTGTATGCTTGTTAATTAAGAATATGGTGATGATAAATCTAAAATCTACGAGTCTGCCCCACATTCCACCCATAAAAAATATATATATATATATGAATCATGTATATCTTATTGGGTCAAACTTATAATATGTATATGCGTGTATATATATATATATATATATATATATAATTTTTTAGTAAAAGGTATTATTCTTTTTGAATAATTATATTAAAGTTTTTATTTATTCACAGTGAAATATCAATGCATATAACATTCCGATTGGACCGATTGATCTTTTTTCTCTCTTTGTTTTCTTCTTCCAAATCCACATTACGTTACTTTTTCTCCTAAGTCCTTCTCTTTTCGAACGTAGCAAATATATACATACATATATCTTTTTCAAAATATGCGAGGTGATCCATGTATGTAATTTTTGCCTCTGGTCTTGTGGAAATGTAGAGTGCGAGATATCGAGAGGTCATCAAAATAATTAACAAATACATACATATATATAATATAATATAAAATGAATTTCTTTTAGATAATACAATATTGTTATTAAATTTTTCTTTTTAATTTACTTCTAAGTTTCTATTATGGTAATTACTAAAATCGTACCACATTTAAAATTATTTATTTTATATTATCATTTAATTAACGAATTATACAACATTTAGTTCAACGGTATTTTTATATTTATAATTCTTTTTTTTGTTTTTTTGGGTTATTTTTATCGTGACAGATTAGAATACAAATTTATTCAATTTAATAAACGGAGTAAAAATTCAATGTAATAGTATAAGTTATATTATAATTACATATATATATATATTAGAGGTAAGATATAAGGTGTATAAGTGGAAATAGTTGAGAATTGAATATCATAAGAGTAAAATTGATATTTTTGGTTGTGATGTTAGAAGGAAGAATAGGAGAGGGTTAAATTGAAAAGGGTAGTTGTTGCTCCCTAAAAGAAGATTTAAGGAGAAGGGGAGTTAAAAAAGAGAAAGTGAGGGCACAAAGGGTGTTATTAATTTGGAATGTTGCTCTTAAATTTGTGCACATGGGAACAAAGCTGTCTATTACAGGGTTTCTTTCTGTGCTTTAGGTGGGAAAATATGCTCTGCTTCACCCAACATTAAGGCTACCCACAAACCCCCCATCTTCCTAATCTTGTCCTAATAAACCCAAGACATGTTGGGACCATCTGCCCCTCCAAAGGCTCTCTACACTTTCAAAAAAATAAAATAAAATAAAAACAGTTAGAGCTAAGTACCAAAAGTTTCTTTGTGGGATTTTATTTTTTATTCTCAAAAAAATTTCATCTAATATTAACAAATTACAGCTTTTCTTTTATTTATTTATTTAAATTATTGTTCCGTCAAATTCTAATTCAAACCCACCAGTAATTATAAGTTTTAAATAACTTCTGTTGTATTAATGATGTTAAAACAAATATAATTAAAATATTAACAAAATTTATATGATAATATTAAAAATATATTGTATTTTTGAGGTAGGAAAAAAATATATTTTTAAATTTTAAAAATAGGGTTTGTTATTTAATTAAGAGATACGGTTGACACGCACATCATATGTTGTGCTCTTGGCTCGTCGTTGACAAATTTCCGGTCAAAATTTTGATGCCACAGCTGTGAATGTGATATGGTGATGTATTAATTTCTTATATTTTTTGCTTAAATTTTAGCTCAAGAATTAGTAGAGACAAAAGGGATAATAATAATAATAATAATGTGTTTATGACGTCATCTTGGTGGAAATTAAATGACCGGAAATTATTGGAGTTTTGAGTCTTCAAATTAGGACCTAACTCAACTCAACAATCTTTGCACTGTGGTTTTGAGTCAACGTGAAACCCAATTTACTGATTAAGATGGTGATATATATACAATTATATTTATAGGGTTTATTAGATTAGGGCACACGTACGTACATGTGGGTGTATGTGCGTGTGTGCGTGTGTGTGTATATATATATATATATATATATATATATATAGAGAGAGAGAGAGAGAAGGAAGGGCATCCCAATTGAAGACTTCAAGGAAGATATGAAATGGTCCTTGAATGGCCTGTTCGCTGTCTAACTTTAGTTGGGTAGGAGGTGATCATACAAATGAAGCTTTTTAAAAAGGAAATTAGAGAATCAGACTGGATTTTCTGCACTTGCAAAAATAATAAAAATTTATAAAATAATAATTAGAACTCTGCAAAAATAAAAAAAAAGACTAAACGACAAAATAGAATATGCAATAAATAAATAAACAAACAACGTCCTGGATTTTTCGAAAATTATCAAATTAAATTATCCAATCAAGGAAAGCCTGCAGAAATTTTGATTTGCCAAGAAAATAATAATAGTTTTTCTGGGTTTAATTTTATAAGAATCAAGAAAGTAATAATAATAATAATAAGTAAAAGAGAAAGAAAAAAGCTGGCAATGGGTTCCAGCTCTGGAATCTGGATGTTATGTTGTCAGAATTAAAAAAAAAAAATTAAATACGGGGAATAAGCTTAATCTCGTTAGCAGGTGATTAATTAGCCACTTAATTAGGGTTTAATTCGGATATAATTGATTACCTTTTAACTTATATTATAAATTTTAAATAAATTATTAAAATTACTTTCAAATTTGAGAGGAATACGTAACACCAAATCTTTTTAAGTATATAACTAACTAACTTGT